CACGCACTTGTCCAAGAGTGTGCGTAGGATGTGGTTCATCTCTGCTTGGAACGTTGCAGGTGCATTGGTGAGTCCGAACGGCATTACCAGATAATCGTACGATACGTACCAAGTTCGGAAGGCAGTTTTGTGAAAAGAATCGTCCGCCATTCGTATCTGCCAGTATCCGGACCGCATATCTAGTTTTGAAAATACCGTGGCTCCCCGAAGCTGGTCAAGCAGGTCATCGATTCGTGGAATCGGGTACTTGTTCTTGATAGTCTGCTTGTTGAGAGCCTAGTAGTCGATGCACATGCGCAGGCTTCCGTCTGATTTCAGTGTGAAGAGTACTGGGGCACCGTACGGTGAAGTGGATGGTCGGATGAGTCCTTTGGCGAGGAGATACTCGATCTGCTTTTTCATGTCGCCTAGTTCTGTGGGGCTTAGCCGATATGGTGCTCGGAAGGTCGATTTTGAACCTGGTTCCTCCACGATTTCGTGTTGGTGCGTTCGGTATGGCAGTAGCTCGTCCGGGAGGTCGTCGGGAAGAATGTCTTGGAACTCCTTCAGTAATCCCTTGATTTGTTCTGGAGGTTCCGAGGCTTTCTCTCCATCATTCTCCACCTCTGTTGCTATCCCCAGGAATCCAGTGTCGGTTCGCTTGACGTCCTTCTCGAACCTGGCGAGTGTCTGGGATATCTCCTGTATCGTCCCAGTTGGGTAGCTGGACTCTCCTTCCTTTGTTGTAGATGCCTGCGGTGCGGTTTACCCAGTTGATCTCGGGGTTGAATTTCTTGAGGAAGTCTCGCCCAAAGATCAGGTCAAGCCCTTTGATGTTGGTGATGGGGAGTGCAGGTCTCCAACTCAGTGGACCGATTTGTAGGTGTAGCACTGCTTCACCGTCCACCGGTAACTTGCTGCCATCCACCATCGTTGCAGAAAACGCTGATGGCTTGTACTCTTCTCGAAGTCAGTCGATGGTTGCCTTGTCGCATACGGTGTGCGATGCTCAGCTGTCCATGAGTGCTTGGAGACATCGTCCTTTGCAGATGACCTCGAGCACGAGGGGCAAGCATTGCTCGGAGTACCCAAAAATAGTTTCATTGATTGGGTCATAGGGTACATCCCAATATTCGTTGCTTCCTACTCCTGAGCTGGCAGCTGGCCGAGGCTGCTTGGAGAAAGCTTCTCCAGGGCCTGGAGTTTCCGTGACGACTGTGCGTGACGTTGAAGACGTTGCCGAGTTGGATGCATCCGAGTTCGGGGTTTTTGCAGCTTCTTGTAGACCCCCAGCTTCCTCTTGAGATGCTTCAGCTCCACCGACGTCTTCCTTGGGGAACGGGTAGTCGCTATGGGCTGGTGTCGGGAGAGGACAATGACTCCGTGGAAAGGTCGGCTTCTTTCCACACTCCTTAGTTTGGTCCCCATGTTCTCCGGTACCGGTATGATCTCCACAATTTTCTACTTCTTCTGGAGTCCCTCCCGAAATCTCTCCAAGGCTCTAGCCCGTCGAGAATTACAATTTTTCATTAAAGCATCTTTAGAAGATAACCTTAATGAATCCTTATAATTTCTTGGGTCTTCAAGGATTTTCCCCGTCTTGGCAGAGCCCTTTTTCGCGGAGTTAGATTTTCCCTCGGCGATTTCCTCTGGCAAAGACTGGTCGTGGGATGGAGATTTTTCCCCATCATTTTCTCCTATTCGCGTAGAATCAGCTGCGTCGAAGTTGATTTTTCCGGAAGTCCGTGGCCGCTTACGAATATTTTCTTTTTTTACCAGTAAGATCCGCAATTACTGGCGAGTCCCGTTTTTTGTCTTCTGATTGGCCGAAGGATTTCCGCCACTGTTGCGTGCCCGATACTCTGCGCTTGCGGCTTTCATTTTATTGTAGTCGAAGATTCGATGACCCGGCACCCCGCAAAAAATCACACGTGAAGTTGGTGTTTTCTGGACGTGGGCGCCCTTCGAACCTGTCGGCTTCCATCGGGTCGGCGAACGTAGAGTGAGCCGAGCGGTTGCCCTGTCGCGTACTGCCGACGTGCGCCCGTCGTGTCCCGGCGTTGACCATGTCGAAGGGTTCCGCTGCCGCTACGACGTCACTGTAGCTCGCGTAGTTTGTCGCTGCTACTTGTCGTTTGACTTCGGTCTTCGGCCCGGCGAGGTACGACTGTAGTTTTTCCCCTTCGGTCAGGTCAGGAATGCGGTTATAGAATTCTTCCATCTGCTGCGTGTACTGTGCTACACTTTCGAACTGTCGATGGCGATGAACTCTTTCCCGGGCAAGGAAACCTGAATTTATTAGCTCGAAACGTTTCAGCAGGTCGGTGCGGAACTGCTGCCACGTGGCTTCGCCGAGGATGAAGGTGCTGTTACCGCGGATCCACTCGAGTGCCTGTCCTCACATTAGTGTCGCCGCGAGTCGTACGCGTTGACCGTCCTCGATTGGCGAGCTCCATCCGACGGCTGCGAAGTAGATCTCCATGCCGGCGATCCATCTGAGGACGTCGGAGTTTCGATCGCTTCGGATCGAACGGCTCACATGGGCGCGGCTTCGAAGCCTCGAGAAACTGCTGCGACTGCTGCGTCGTCGCCGTTGTCGTTTCGTGTTGCGCGCCGGCAAGTCGAGTTACTCGCTCGAACTCTTGTCGCCAAGCTTCACGGTCGTCTCGCATCTGCTCCCGTAGGGCGGTGATGCTTGCGAAGAGCTGCTGGGTAACTTCGGCGTTGTCGAAGTTCGCCATCCTGTTCAAAACACGCGCGGAGGGGTAATTCGAAAAAACGCGGAGCTGGTGCTTACCAGAATCGGCGTCGAATTGGTCGCCCCCGGCGGTTTTTCGAAGCAGGAGTCCTGCTGCTGCTGCTTAGCTGAGCACGGCCGAGTGAGAAAAGCTCTGATTACCAAGTGTTACAGGATCGAATGTGTCGAGGAAAAGTTGCACTATCGATCAGTACAAGGCGCTTTTAGACTTCCAAAATACATCAGTTATCCAGGTTTATCCTATCCAAAGGGAATAGACCCTTCTAGAAAATAGAATTACCCTGCGTACAGCCACGCGAGGCTATTGGCTTTAAGGGATTACAACAGGATTACGCTACATATAGCACGCCAGTACACCCCGATCCTGGTCGGTGATATAATGATAATAATAGGATAAACCAATGGTTTATGGAAAAGGAGGAATAGGAATCCAAATGGAATGAGATAAAGACGAAACAAATCAGAATAAAAGGAGGAATGAAATGGAAAGGGAAGATGGAAAGGAGAAAGGAATGCAACAGGGTCGTACTCTTACAACATACATAGCAGAGCGAATTTTATACATATTCTAGCTCAAAGACCAGCACACGACGCCGTACTAGGCTGTGCCAGTCCAGGAGGGATGGCGTGGGCCCGAAGCAGAGAAAGAAGATGGCATCGAGACGGTGGTAGCGGTGGCCAGCGGTATGACCGGGTCAATCACACAGAGTGCCACGAAGGGGACAGAACTAGATATGATGCTGGCAACTTACAGAAATGGAGCCACCACCTGACTTCAAGCTGCGAGGGTTGCCTCTGTGGCCACCACCACTAAAGCCGCTGGGCCACCACGTTGACGGGGGTCCTTATGGCTGCAGCTGCTACTACTGCTGCTGCTGCTACCTCGGCTGCGACTGCTGCTGCTGCTGTTGTTCTGGGGTGTCAGTCCCCACCCCCTCGTCTGCACGTCATGCGCTCGCACCACCTCCACCACCCCTACCACCCCTGCCACCCCCGCCACCCCCGTCAACCCCAGCACCCCTCCCTCCCCCTCGCCCCCCTCTCAGGCGACGGCCCTTATCCTGACAAGGCAACGCTGAGGTCGCCGCGATGGTCTCAGCAACAGGGACTCTCTGAGTGACAGCAAAAGAAACGTCAGAGTAAGTGCACGAGGAGGGAGCACAGACGTGGAAGACAGGGACCACCGCAGAACCGCTAGACTAAGCGATCGTGCGCTGGCGAGTCTCTATCGCGGACAGGGTGGCAACCAAATGACAAGATAGGAGTGTTTCAGACAAAATTCTACACATGAGGAAGTTCAGGGTTTAGGCATGTGAGGACTTTTTGGCTCGATTGCAAGCACTAAACGAAACCACTCAGATTTGAAAGTGAGTTCTGGTTTGGAGCAAGAACACATGTTGGGCAAAGGGATGGAGGCTGAAACGATTCAACAAGGCGCTTGGCCAAGGTGAGGTCTTATAGGCAACAGATTAATGGATCGAGTCTAACAAGACGGATAATATTCCTGCAATGGTCTATAACACCAATTGGTTGTGAAAAGAAATATCTGAAGGCAACACTCAAAGCTCAAGAATTGCTTGCTAAACCCTTTGAACATGCTTGCGTGCTTCATACCCTCTTACCTGGCAGCTTATTGTCAAACAACCTGAACAGCAGATCCAGGTTGTCGGACCAGTACTTCTCCCTCTTCCCTATATGCAGCAATGGGTACTTTTTGGGGCGGAATAGATTAGCTCCATCGACCTTTTTCAGGTCGTCCAGGCGACTATCGAGTGCATCAATCAGCCCCTGAGCAAACACCTTGGCTAATTCATAGCATTCCTCAGGAGATGTGCCATACAAGGCACCTTTTCCGATGGGTTCATCATGCAAAGGGACTGTGTCCACGTGTTACCCTCGGCATCCAACACCCTCAATCACCAAGACTCTCTTCTCGGTGCTTGCGTGCTTCTTCAAGAACGGAGCTAGACGGCTCTGCTTGAATTCGCCGAATCGTCCAACCGGCGTCACGTTACGCTGTTTCAGTGCAAAGCATGCATCATCCACCGTAGCCGCGACTCTGGTCAGATCTACCTGTAAGGGTTTTTGTAGGCAGCGGAGCATTCAGATTAAGGGACCATGGAAAGAAATACACAACTTAGCATACAGGGAGGGTTGGTATGATTATAATGGAAACATTTGCATGTGACACCCAGATCCAAAACTCACTGTGCGGTCCTGGAACTTCATGTTGAGATTGTTGAGGACGAAAAGCACATCAGCCAGTAGGTACAACATGAAGTGGAACTTGAAGCTTGTAGCTGTCTTGAAGAGGGCGTGCTCCTCCTCATTCCAAATCCACAACAAGATGGGAAGGACCTCACAGAAGCGCATGACCGCCTCACCACGGGACAGCCACCAAATGGCTATCATGCCTAGCACCTGTAAGTCGGTCTTGCGTATGGCGTACTGCAGATTGAGGAACTTTTCGCGCCGGACGTTGGAACGGCCGAGCTGTTCAGCCGTGGTCTTGATGACTTGGTCAACGACCTCAAGATCTGGGAGCTTTGATGCAGCATCTTTTGCAGCCAAAGCCTCTCTGGAGTGTGGGGGATGCAGGGCTGTGAAAACTGAGAAGAAAATTCACATTTTGGAATCATCTCCACCTTTCGGGCAATGGCTACAAAAGGAAACGGGTAATGATTGTGCGAACAGCTGAGTGTCAACAAGATTACAGCAAGAGTGGTTGTTGGGCAGAATTCTACATACGCAAAACTCATCGGTGTGCGATACAATGGAATGAAACCAGCCATGGGCAATGCTTTCGGATCCGATTCACGAGGCCACGCTTCTCCCCAATCGTCACCGAAGCACCATCGGTGCTCATACCCACCAACTTTTGGAGATCAAGACCCTTCTCGTTGAGGCATTCGCATAGGACAGCACAGAGGGAAGCGGCATCGTACTTCTCTACAGGTAGGTGAGCTAGGAATTCGGTAGTAACAAAGTAGTCACGCTCAAGGGTACAGTAGACTATGAGGTGCTTGCCATGTGCCTGGTCCGTACTTTCATCCAATGAAAGTCCAAAACACGGGCAGTCTTTGATGAGAGCGTGTTGTTGCTCATGCAGATTTGTCGCTAGAGCAGGAATAAACTCTCCCGCGGCCCAACTGTTCAAGGTGCAAGTGTGGAAACACAGAGGACTTTGTTGATTAAACAATAAGACATAAAAGAGCGTTACTACTCAAAGCCTTATCAAGGTCATAGCAAAACAGAAACACATGCAAAGAGTGGTAGGAAATATGGAAGAACGCTTCAAACTTACGTTGTAAAGTAGGTCCCGCTCTTCTCCACCCGTGGCATGTCCTCAAGACCGAGCTCCACCAACCACAACGCCAAGATGGGGTACATGCTTATGGGGATGTCATGTCGGCCTGTGAAATATGTGATCTTCATGCAAAGAATCACACGACACACTTTTGCCGGAGCAAGCTGATAACTCTCCCATTGTTGCTTAAGCTCTTCGTGCTTCTTCTCCATAGTTTCCTTTGCAACAGCATTTTTATGGCTGGTGCTATATTGATGGCCTGTAACACAAGACCTCTGTATGTCACGTGCACCTAGTCCTGGCCGCCCGAATGGGGTGTTGAACTTGTCTGCTGCCCACTTCTCACAGACGCTACATTTCATACCATATTTTCCAAGCGACTTCTCAAGCTGCAAGCGAAGCCAAGGGAATTCGGCTATCCACTTTTTCAGCAGCAACTCCTCAACCACAATGGGTGGGTCAGAGGAGGATGCTTCCGCCAGATCAGTGGGAGGGGTGGGTTCCTCCTCCACGGCACTAACACCCTTGCGTTTCTTGCCAGATGGAGGTGGCGCAAAATTCAGGCGCTGCTGCGTATGACCGCGGTGGTTCGCCCTAACTGGGACTGAGGTGCTCGGGTGCACTGTGGCCACATTCGGGTCGGATGGATGACGGTGGATAGGCCAGTTCTCTGAGGTACCAACAGGGTAAAGTTCTAAGGTGTCAGAGTCTACCCTGGCCTGCTCAACGTGCATGGATTGGGGGCAGGAGGAAGAGGGCTCTTCGTCACTGTCTACTGAATCAATACTGTTGAGATCAATGGTCGTCCGTTCTTGACATGGAACCTTAGACTGAGAAACAGTTTTCCCCTTGCCACCTTCCTTGCCTAACGAAAGATTCAGGTCGTCCATTGTTGATGAGAACTATTATTGACTAGTACTATGCAGAAACTTATGAATCTTGCGAGCCTAAAGCGATACATACAGTGGCCGTGTCTAGCTGAAGGGGTTCTTCTAGGTCAATGTATTGTGAGCGACACGAGAGGAGGTGAGGGAAGGGAGGGACCTAGTGGGAGACTGCTGGGCGAGGGTGTTGTTTCTCTAAGGTGAGTTTCCCGCCTCTGCTTTGCTGCACGAGAGATCCGCTCGTCGGTGGGCTCGAGGCGGAAGTCCCTCAGCTAGCCACTTGAAAATTTCACGTACTCTTTCATGGCTATCTTCCAAAAAGCCTTTCAAAAACCCTGATCGCTTGGAAAAAAACCTAAGAATTGAAGTCAAGTCAGGGTAATTACCCTGTTAACGGGAGCCCTGGGCGCAGCTCTCTTAGGTCAGTGTAGGTGTGTCTCCTCAGCAGCTCGGCCTTCAGGGAGGCCAGTGCGTCTCTGTATGCAGTAGCGAAGACCAGGTCGTCTACGTAGATAAGGATGTAGAACGGAGTCTGGCCAGCACGAATGAAGAGCGAGGGGTCTACAGAGCATGGAAAGAACCACAGGTCAGCTAGCGTAGCATGCAGCGTGTCGTGCCACTCACGTGGCGCCTGTCGCAGGCCGTAGACCAGGTGCCGGAGGAGCCACTGGGTCCCAGGAGGGAAGGTACCAGCAAAGCCCTGAGGACAGCGCAGGTAGACCTGCTCGTGTAGGCTGCCCTGAAGAAATGCAGTGGAGAAGTTGAGGGAGTGAAGCTCGTAGTCACGATGTGCTGCTACGTATAGCAGCGCCCGAAGAGTAGTCATCTTCTGGGTCGGGGCGACGGTCTGAAAGAAGTCCACCCCCTCGCGCTGACTGAAGCCTTGAGCCTCGTAGCGTGCCTTGAACATAGGCAGCTCTCCAAGAGGGCGCTTCACCTTGAAGAGCCACCGACCATCGACTACATTCACCCCAGGTGGGGGAACTGCGTCGATGTAGGTGCAGGTGGATCTCCAAGATGCCATCTCCTGCTCCATGGCAGCTATCCACTGAGAGGCCCAAGTTTCCGAGGTCGCCTCAGCGTAAGTGCGAGGGGTTCACCCCCTTGCGCTGTTTGAAGCCTCTAGCAGCGTAGTGTGCTTTGAACACAGGCGGCTCTCCAGGAGGGCGCTTCACCTTGAAGAGCCGCTGGTCCTCGACTACATTTGCCCCAGGTGGGGGAACTGCGTTGACGTACGTGCCGGTGGATTTCCAAGATGCCATCTCTGTGTCCATGGAAGCTATCCACCGAGAGTCCTAGGGTCCCGAAGTCACCTCAGCGTATGTGCGAGGGGTCGGGATGTCAAGGGCATCCTCAGAGGCTAACAGCATGGAGCAGAGATGAAGAGCGGCCTTGGGCAGGAAAGCTAGCTTGCACAGCCTGTCCTATAGAACGTCACTGCCAAGGGAAGGTGCACCCCCGACAGACGGAGGATGGGCAGGGCAGTGGCGTAGTCAAGGCGGCGGGTAGAGGCAAAGTCAGCGACAACAACGACAAGAGCTGAGAGATTGGAGACAGGAACGAGCGGGTCGGTAAGAAGAGAGGTGAGGACACGAGGAACCAGAGGTCGAGCAGCACGGAGAAAGTTGGAGAGAGGAGGCAAGGAGACAAAGAGAGACGATTGAGGAGGTTTCGGGAGAAGAGGAGCGGGAGGAGCACAGGACACGTGAGAACGGAGAGACATAGGGTGGACACTCGGAGTAGGAGAGACATGACGAGTACGGAATGGACGGTGAGACCACCAGCGAGAGGGGGGCGTGGGGTATGGAGACAAGGGAGGAGACACAGGAGGGGAACGAGGGGGGAGACGAGTCGGGGACGAGTCCGGCGAAGGCAAGACAGGGCCGTAGACAGGCAGAGGAGGGGCGCTAGGGGAGGCACGGATGGGCGGTCGGGAGAGGGAAGACTGAGGAGGCGAAGGGCGGACACTGGCGGTGACTGCTGCTGTTGCTCAGCGCCCACACCAGTACCCCGAGCCGCACCACGACCACCTCCAGGAGTCGCCATGACAGCACCCCCAGAACCAGCACCCCACGGACCAGCACCCCTAGAACCAGCACTCCCAGCACTAGAACCCTCCTCAGCCAGCGCCAACACCCCCAGAGCCCACGGACCCTTGCTGCAGCGGCGGCGGCTGCTGTTGTGGCGGCAGCGACGACTGCTGCTGCGGTGGCGGCTGCTACGGCGACTGGTGCTGCTGCAATGGCAGAGGAGGCACCCGGGCCGAGGGTGCAGGTGCTGCAGACAAAGCGGCTCACCCTATACCTCAGGGCCCGTAGAGTCAGCAGACTCCTCCGTCCGGCCAACCGAAGGAAGGGGAGTGACGTGAGACACACTAGACGGGGCAGGACGGGGAGCAGGAGCTACCGGGGGAGTGGGGACAAGAAACAGGGGCGGGGTAATGGTGAGACGACGGGTAGTAGAAGGGCGGGTGGTCAAATGCGTCAAGGGGGAAGTCAAGAATGATACAAGGGACGGTGCGGGCAGTGAGCTTGTTCGACGTGAGCTAGGCAGCCCCAGACGTGAAATGCAGATACGTAACCAGGGGACCCGGTCCAGAGAAGGGTCTTTGAAACCTAGGACATGTGACGGAGACGTGGAAGAGCGGAGTGACCTAGACGGTGGTGCCATAGGTGCAACGGGTGAATGAGCGATCGACACGAGCAAGCTGCAGTGACCTGGGTAGACGCAACCAACTAGGGGGACGCCCCCACTGGGGGGGACTCGGTGTCTAGCGTAAACAGCCCAGATACTGGGTCCCGGGGGAACGTGATGAGGGGGGCACCAGTGACGGCCTTGATATGGACTGCATCCCGCTTGTGTCCAAGGAACGTAGTGGTGGCGCCGAGGTCCTGAAGGCAGCCGACACCAACTAGGCTCCTGGAGAACGAGGGGATATGCAGACTAGTAAGCGAGCCCGAGGGAACCGCCTGACAGGGAAGTGTGATTGAGCTACATGCAACTACCGGACTAGAGGAAGGGTCAGCAAGGGAGACAATTGCTGGGGTGAGAGTGGTGAATTCGCGAAGAAGCAGGCAGACTCACCACAGTTCACCGTGAAGGAGAGCACGATGATCGCGTCTGCCGGCAGGGGCACTAGCGTGAAGCCAAGGCTAAACAAGGTAGGAGATCCTACGCCTGACACAGTAGGGGAGCCTAGATTACACACAGCAGGCACACCTGGGCCAGGCAACACAGGGTAATAAGGTCCAGTCACACTACAGTCAACAGGATACATGGAATACATAGCAGAGCGAACCTGTTCCATATCTAGCTCAAAGACCGGCACACGATGACGTACTAGGTTGTGCCAGTGCGGGAGGGATGTCGTGGGCCCAAAGCAAAGACGGAAGATGTCGTTGAGGCGGCGGTAGCAGCAGGCAGCAGTGTGACATGGACGGTCATACATGGTGCCACGAAGGGGACCAGACTAGATATGGTACTGGCGACTCACAGAACTTGAGCCGCCACTCGACGTCGAGTTATGAGGGCAGCCTCCGTGGCCACCACCACCGAAATGCCTGGCCACCACAGAGGCGGGTCCCCCCACTGCTGCTGCTGCTGCTCTAAGGCGTTTGCTCCCACCCCCTCGTCTCCACTCCCAGCACTCCCACCACTACCACCTCCCTCATCAACCCCACCACCCCGATCACCCTTCCCTCCCTTACGCCCCCCTCTGGGGTGACGTGTGGCCGTACCCCGATGAGGCTGCACTGAGGCCACTGCGGCGATCTTAGCGACAGCAGTGGAAACGTCCCAGTAAGTGCACTAAGATGGAGCACAACCCAGGAAGATAGGGACCGCCGCGGTACCACTAGACTGAGCGATAGTGTGCTGGTGGGTCTCTATCACCGACAGGGTGGTGACGAAGTCGCTAAGGGTGAGGTCGGTGGGCCTGAGGCCAAGGAAGGTGTCGCAGGCAGTGTCTAGGCGGTCAGCGAGGCGCGTGGCTAGGAAATAAAGCGTAGCGCCGAGGGGGGGGGAAATACAGTGAGCTGCGCCCAGTGCTAGCAGCGCGGTAGCTAGTCTCAAGCGCGCGCAGGTGAGTTGCAAGATCAGCTACTGTGGGGAAGGATGCGAGATCAGGAAAGAGCAGGGGCAGGAGGAGTTGGCCAGCAGAGGTGGAGGAGGGAGTGGAATAGCGAGCAATGACGACATCTAGGTACTCCTTGGCTGTCTCTAGGGCCTGAAAGCGGGGACGCTCGGACAGGGGGAGAGCGTGACTAATAGCTAGCTGTGCAGTGGCGTCACGCGACTCCTAGAGCGAGCTTAGCAGTTGTGAAAGCCTCACACTCAGCACGCATGGGGGCGTGAGGCAGGGCAGCAGGCACGGGGGGGGCAGCGTAGATTACCGTCGACATGGATGGCCAATGACTGGCCATCCTGGTGCTAACCCTTCAGCTAGCGGCGCAATTCGGCGAGCCATCCCTCGAAATCCACCGCACAGCCCTCTACGTCCAGGCGGAGAACATCGTCCGCCATCACGTATAGCTGCAACGGCTGGAGTGCTCAGGTGGAAGAGGAGCAGGTTGCAGGAGGGTGTGGTGGGGGGTGGTGGAGAGTGGTGGAGAGCGGTGGAGAGCGGTGGAGAGCGGTGGAGTGCGGTGGAGTGCGGTGGAGTGCAGTGGAGAGTGGTGGAGTGCGGTGAAGCTGCGAGAGAGGAGACAGCAGGCGGGGGCGCCGGCGCAGAGGAGAGACCAGGGCCGGCGGCGTGTAGGGGTCGGCAAGGCGAGCTGGGGCGGCGCAATATTCTAGGGCGGTGCGGCGAGCTCGGGCCGGCAGCGAGCTGGGGGCCGCGCTGCGAGCTGGGTCAGACGACGAGCTAGGGCATGTGGCGAGCTGGGGCCTGCGGCGAGCTGGGAACTACGGTGAACTAGGGCCGGCGACGAGCTGGGGGTTGCAGCGAGCTGCGGGCTGCGCGGCGAACTGGGACCTTCACGGCGAGCTAGGGTGGCGCGGTGAGACGGGGCCGAAGTGACGAGCTGTGCCAGCACGTAGGCTAGGGGCCAGCGCGGCGCGTTGAGCTGGGGGTCGACGTGGCGTGGCGGGGCAGGCTAAGGGCCAGCGCGGCGGGCTAGGGCCAGCGTGGTGAGCCAAGGCCAGCGCGGCGCGGCGGGCTAGGGCAGGCGCGGCGAGCTAGGGTAGGGGAGCTCTACGGCAGGTTAGGGCGGGGCGTTCTACTTAGGCTAGGGCGGAAGCGCGGGTGGGTGAGACCTACCTAGCGTAATATCATGTCAGAGTAACGAAGTGAAATCAAGCAAGGGATACAAGGGAGCTGTATGGTTGGGTGTTGTACTCTCTAAGAGCACAAACCATCTAGCCTATAACTGCTACGTATACTGTAAAACATATGTTTAAGTTGACAACGGTAGCCTAGGTGTTGGGTAAATAAGTTTGGCATTGTTTCATCCATATTTTCTTACACCATCATCTACATTGTCCACCACCAAGCTTAAAACCAAATCCTGTGCATTTTCATACACCAAGTATCACCTCAAATATCCATCCCATATTCATTGAAGCCATTGGTGTGGTTTACAAACCAACACCATATTCGTATTCATAATCACAAACAAACACTAGACTATACTCCCACATCTACATTGTTAAGATTCAGATGTACTAAACCTTACAGAATAGTATTAAGCTACGTAGCTAGCTAGATAGAAAAGGGTTTTCATCATAGAACATGAAAAAAAAACTCTTTAAATCGATTGGATAAGGTTGCTCCGCAACCCAAAAAATCACCCGCCCTTGTTCGTTACCATTTGGCACCCCAGTACTCTTCACGCAAAAAAGAAAAGAAAAAAAGTACAGGACATTGGATATGACATGTACTGACTACAAGGCACTGGGCTGAGCTACGATCAAGTCACGTTGCCATATCCCTTGGGCGGACGAACTCATAGATCAGTTTCGCACAGCACGATTCTTCTCGAGTAAGAACAATGCACCAGCTGGCGCGCTTGCTCAGGTGGTGGGATTAGCTGCAGTTTTTTTCGGTCGTCTTCTGCTTTGATGGCTTCATTGTTTGGCTGGTTCTGCAAGAAATCACATATCGCTTCACGTCGTTCTGCATGCCGGACCAGAAATAGTAGCGCTTAGCTGTTGACTTGGTTTTTCTACTCCAAAATGTTTGAAAACGTGCTGTCGTGAGCTTCTTGTAATAGATGCCCAGAGCTATAGCAAACTGCTCGTATGCTCCGATCGTAAAGAAACTGCCGGTCTAGAACCCGTAGGTAAATATGTCTGTTAATAGCGGGGAAGTAAGAACGAGGATCATTGAGTTGAGATGCAAAGATGGGCGAGAGACATTGGGTTAGCTATGCTGGACGCACCTTTTTTGTACGTGACCATCGGTGGATGTTGGATTCCATGAAATGCAACCAGCGAATTTGTATTGGCTTGTGAGTGGTTGTGCGCGGGTGTACTATAGGTTGCGATGGTCTGTCGATATCGTCGCATCTGCTCTCATCAGGTAGTATTGCTACACTATGAAAGGGTGCACGATAGCCAGAATTTCCATATCGTGTATCGGGTAGTTGCACTCAGGCAAGTGCACTTTTCGTCGCTCGTACGCAATTTGCGGTAAACTGTCACCGAAATCCAGCAAACGTATGGCACCAATGGCGACGACAAGCGCATCTGTAACTACTTCGAGCGGATGGTTGGGATCGGTAATGCGAAAGAAAGGGGTGGAGCACATAAAAGATTTGAGCAAGAAGTAGGCAAAACAATGCACTGCATCTAGTACTCGCCAATCACCATTCTATTTCAATTACAGACAAAACCCAACAGTTCCCGTCACCCCAAATCCATACAATCCAGTCTCATGAGTCCAACCTTCAAATTCCAATTCAGATCTACATCACAGAGCGGTCATTTACGACGCAAGAAACTAAGTACTATTCGACACTCATAACCTTTGACTGCCCATAGTCCCAAAACTTTGCCCTCGCTATTGTGGACAGTTCACCATCAACCACATTATTACATCTGTCACAGCTCGCCTACTGCTACTGTTCACCTCGAATGTGAGCACGTCGTTTCATGTGCGGTGACTGCGACCATACGTCGCCAATAAGAGAAGGGCACAGGGCGGGGGAAGGGCGTGGAAAACCCCTGTGCAGGGTGCTGGGTGCTACTTGGAGAAGGGCTATTCTCCAGGGCCAGGAGTTTACTTTACGATCGTACGTGTCGTCAATGCCATTGAGCTGGATGCATCCAAAGGAGGAGTTCGGGGCTTTTGCAGATTTTTGTAAACCCTCCAGCTCCCTCTTAAGCTGCTTCAGCTCCACCGACGTCTTCCCTGGATAACAGGTAGTCGCTGTGGGCTGGTGTCGAGAGAGGACGTTGACCTCGTTGACCTCGTTGACCTCAGCTGTTTTCCACACTCCTTAATTTTTTCCCCAAGTTCTTCGGTACCGGTACAATCTCCACAATTTTATGCTTCTTTTTAACATCTTTATAAGATAACTTTAACGAATCCTTATAATTTTTTGGGTTTTCCTGGAGGTTCCCCATCTCGGCAGAGTCTTTTTTCGCGCAGTCGGATTTTTTCTCAGAAATTTTCCCTGACAAAGTATGGGCGTGGGGTGAAGACTGCTCGCGTCGAGTAAGCTTCGTCGAATTTGATTTTTTCCGGGATCCCGCGATCGCTTTTGCATCTTTTCCTTTTCGCCAACTACACCCCCAAACACTAACGATTCCTGTTTTTTTTTGCTTCTAATTGGCCGAAGGATTCCAACCATTGTTGCATGGCCTTCATTTTGTTGCACTCGAAGATTCGATGGCCCGGCACTCCACAAAAACCGCACATGAAATTGACGTTTTGTTTACTTGGCCACCCGTCGATCCTGTCTATTTCCATCGAGTCGACGAGCGTGGGGTATGCCGAGCGGTCGCGGTGTCGCGTAGTGCCGACGTGCGCCCATCGTGTTCCGGTGTTGACCATGTCAAACCACTCCGCTGCCGATACGACGTCAATGTAGCTCACGTAATTCGTCGTTGCCACCTGTCCTTTGACTTCGGTCTTTAACCCGGCGAGGTATGATTGCACTTTTTCCCCTTCGATCAGGTCGGGAATGTGGTAATAAAATCCCTCCATTTGCTGCATGTACTGCACTACACTCTCAAACTGTCGATGGCAATTAATATTACCCCGGGCAAGGAAACTCGAATTTATCGGCTCGAAATGTTTTAGCAGGTCGGTGCGGAACTGCTGCCACATGGATTCGACCTGGATAAAAGCACTGTTGCCGCCAATCCCCTCGAGTGCCAGCCCTCGCATCAGTGTCGCCCCGAGTCACACGTACTGACCATCCCAAACCGACGAGCTCCATCCGACGGCTGCGAAATAAATATCAATGTTGGCGATCCATCTGCAAGCGTTATAGATTCGATCTCTTGGATCGAACAATTCAGGTGAGCGCGGATTCGCCTTGAGAAACTGCGGCAATTGCTGCATCACTGCCGTTGTCGTCTCGTGCTGCGCACCGGCGAGTCAAGCTTCGAGATCGGCTCACATCTCCTCCTGTAGGGCGGCGACGCAAGCAAAGAGCTGCTGGATAACCTCGGCGTTGTCGAAGTTCGCCATCCTGTTCAAAACACGCGCGGAGGGGTTAATTAAAAAAATGTGGAGCTAGTGCTGACTAGAATCGGCACCGAATTAGTCGCCCCCGACGGTTTTTCGAGGCAGGTTTTCCTACGGCTGCTGCTGCTTAGCTGAGCACGACCAAGTGCAAAAAGCTTTGATACCAAGTGTTACAGGATCGAATTGGTCAAGAGAAAGTTGCACTATCGATTGATACAAGGCACTTTTATACTTCCAAGGTACATCAGGTAACCATGTTTATCATATCCAGAGGGAATAGACCCTTCTAGAAATTGAATCACCCTATTTCTAGCCACATGAGGCTATTGGCTTTAAGGAATTATGGCACGACTACGCTAGATATAGTGCACCAGTATATACCGAGCCTGGTCAGTGATACAATTATTACTATAGGATCACCCAAAGGATAATGGAAAATGAGGAATAGGAAACCAAATGAGATGAGATAAACACTAAATGAATTAGGAAAAAAAGGGGACTAAGGTAGAGAAGAAATATAGAAATGAGGAAGAAGTAATAATGGGGTTATACTCTCACACAAATCTTCCTGCGGCGCCCACGAGGCTTCATCGGATCCTTTGCTTTTGGGACCTTGTGGAGCCTGCACTGCCCTGTCTACGGCTTGCATCAGGCTCCCCGTGAGTGGCACAACATGCTCCGCACTACAGTCGCGACTCTCCACTTCTTCCTGTCCTCTGATGACCCCTCGCTCTTTGTTCATACAGGTCAGAATCTGTCCTACATACTTGTGTACGTAAACGACCTTATCCTCGCTACTCTAGACAGAGTCGCACTGGCCTCAATGAAAGCCGAGATGCTCAGGCGACATGCCTATACAGATCTGGGAGATCTGCGGTGCTATTTGGGCAAGGATATCTCTCGTAACCGTGCCGCGCGCACGATCACACTCTCCCAGTCCCGTATGGTGCAGCAGATTCTCCTGCGATTCGGCTTCTAGTTCTCATCTGTACAGCCCACCCCTCTGCCTGTGGACCACAAGCTCCCAGCTCCTATTTCCAGTGAGCAGGTCGAGCCTAGTGGTCCATACACAGAGCTCGTGGGGTGCCTCGTGTACCTGATGATGTGCACTTGCCCAGATCTAGCGTACCCTCTTTGTATCCTTGCTCGCTACGTTGCGACTTGCAGACACCGTCCAAAGCACTGGTCGGCTGCCAAGAGGGGGTTGCGGTAACTGGCGAGTATATCGGGACTAGGGCTTGTGCTTGGAGGACGGGAGACAGTGGTTCTCACTGGACACACAGAAGCGTCGTGGGTTGACGACTTGGAGACGCTCAGGTCCTCACATGGCTATTATTTTAGTCTTGGTGCGGGTGCATTCTTATAGAGGTCCACTAGGTCATCGTCTGTAGCACAGTCCAGTTGTGAGGCAGAGGTATACGCAGTGGCCATGGCTGCTCAGGAGCTCTCTTGGCTGAAGTTCTTGCTCACTGACTTAGGTGAGTGGCCTAGGTCTGCCCCGGTCCTGTTTGCTGATACAGGGCCATATTCCTCCTATGTACGGAGGCTCGATTTCAGGGCAGGGCTAAGCGCATCCAGCTGCGGTACTTCCTGCTGTGTGAGTTGCAGAAGTGCGGTCAGGCTCGTGTAGTACAGTTGGCCTCAGAGGCCAACACTGCTGATTTATTCACCAAGGCCCTAGGGCCTCGTGACCACCAGCAGTTCTGGGCTCAGCTTGGTCTAGTCCCAGTTGCCTTTCCCTTGCTTGTATCCTGATCTCTGCTATACCGATTTTGTAATTTCTCCTCGATACCGCCTGTTTTGTTACACTTGCTGACTGGCCTTTTGGCCTTTGTCTCAATGATCAGACTAGTAGCGTATTCTCCCGGATATACGCCACTCCGTAGGTTAAGGCTTATGGGCTTTATCCTGTGCATTGAGCCTTATAAACATTATTTCATTAAACGCCCCCCCTCGTTTTCTGCAAACTTGTACGAGATATATCCCCCCTCTTTTTTAAGGCCTGTTACATGATGCCTATTTCATTAGCATGATTGCATTACAACTACGAAATATTATGATGTCAGATGTCAAGATATCCTAAGCTTAAGCAGCAATAGCTGGCTCTAGGCCCTACCTAGCTAACATCTGCATAAATCGAGCCTTACATAGCCTATCTAGATGCTTCATAGCCTTTAGGAGACTACTCCTCCTCCTCCTCCTCCTCCTCCTCCTCCTCCTCCTCCTCCTCCTCCTCCTCCTCCTCCTCCTCCTCCTCCTCCTCCTCCTCCTCCTCCTCCTCCTCCTCCTCCTCCTCCTCCTCCTCCCCTCCTCCTCCTCCTCCTCCTCCTCCTCCTCCTCCTCCTCCTCCTCCTCCTCCTCCTCCTCCTCCTCCTCCTCCTCCTCCTCCTCCTCCTCCACCTCCTCCTCCTCCTCCTCCTCCTCCTCCTCCTCCTCCTCCTCCTCCTCCTCCTCCTCCTCCTCCTCCTCCTCCTCCTCCTCCTCCTCCTCCTCCTCCTCCTCCTCTTCCTCCTCCTCCTCCTCCTCCTCCTCCTCCTCCTCCTCCTCCTCCTCCTCCTCCTCCTCCTCCTCCTCCTCCTCCTCCTCCTCCTCCTCCTCCTACTCCTCCTCCTCCTCCTCCTCCTCCTCCTCATCCTCCTCCTCCTCATCCTCCTCCTCCTCTCCTCCTCCTCCTCCTCCTCCTCCTCCTCCTCCTCCTCCTCCTCCTCCTCCTCCTCCTCCTCCTCCTCCTCCTCCTCCTCCTCCTCCTCCTCCTCCTCCTCCTCCATCTCCTCCTCCCAAGCGTCCTACCCCTCAGTAGCAGCCACATCCTCTGATGCTGCAGCAGCAGAGTTATTCCTGGCGAACCCATCAGCGCCCACTTCATCGTCGCCATCCACTTCAACTTCTTTTTCTAGCACATATGCTGCAGATTCAGGTAGTCTTCACTGCCGTCGAGTGAATCGTTGATGACGCAGGTCTTGAATGCCTTCTATATGAAGGACGTCGGGATTGCCCTTAAGGCCTTAGAGATCCACTTAAGGATCTCCTCTAGCGGGGGCTTCTTGATGTTGCCTGTGCATACAAGAAATAGCCAAGGAGTCAGGGAGCACTCGGGAATCAGGCAAGAAACCAACAAGATTATTTGATGGAAACTTACAATACCCTTGGCGGTCTTGGTGTACACCCCGACCGAGTCGAACCACTCTTGGTAGAACTGGCGAACGCGGACCTTGAACGCGCGGTTCATGCACGCATCCAGTGGCTGGACGACGGACTTGCAGCTGGCGGGGATGACTCCAGGCACCAGGCCGAGCATAGCGTATGCCTCCTAGACTTCCGCCATGAGGTGTCCTCGGTAAGAGTCGAGGATGAGTAGGGCCGACCGAGCGTGTAGACCAAAGCGCGGCTTTGTGAACGGCTTGACGGCCTTCAGTAGCCACTCCTTGACTCCCTCAGCATCCATCCAGCCATTTGGCTGTGCTGCGACAATGGCGTCTACGATGACAAGCACAGGGGTCAACAGCCGTCGCGCTTGTTAGAAAAAAACAAGCTTGACAAATGAGATTCTAAAACTGGTTTCTTCGAGTTAACCTTTTGGGAAATCCTTCTTTGGCACCGTCTTCCACTTGAAGTAGACCCATAAATTCAGCTCTTCGTCGGCGGCGGTGCATGCAAGTATCACGGTTACTCATTCTTTCTGATAAACCACCATTCGGATGGGTTGTTCGTGTCAATTTCCTCGACGGTGCGCTCGGCAGGCATCTTGAGCCAAAGGGGTTTCTGGTCAGCATTGATGATCCAACGCTCCTTGATTCGTACATCCGACGGACGTCATGATAGAAGCGCCAGAAGTTCTCGACACTACTTGACACGCTGAGGGAGGGGGGATTGCACAGGTGGAAAACATGGGGGAAAGTTGACGGTCAATATACGGAGTTAGATATTCAGGAAGCATGGGCGCTAGTGAGCAAAGTAGAGGTTGCGAAAGCGAAGTAGAGAGAAAAAAAAAGGAAAACCAAAACTTACTGGCGGTCAATTTCTGACCGACTTTGGTCTTAGAGCGAACGGAGACGTTCCAACGAGCTCTGAACTACTCAGTCCAACGGTGGGAACCTTGCCACTTCACCTCTGGATGCAATTGCTTTATCAGCTCCCGCGACCACGTCTGCATCTTCGACACGGGGACAGGGGAAACAACAGCGCGCGCGGTAAGGAAGCGGGCGTACACTTGTGTTGCCATGTCGGAGTACCACGAGGAACGTCCATGGTCGTACGGTCGCTTACGACAACCTAAGGCACCCTGCAGCTCGTGCTCGGCCTTAATCCAGTCATTGATGAGACAGCGCGAGATGCCCGCCTCTCGTGCCACCTCGTCTTTTACCTTGACTTCCTTTAGACGCAGAAGCCAGAAGAGCTTTTCCTTGGCGGTGTAGTCATCCCGCTTGCGCTTATTAGCGCGGTTCCTGGGAGACGGGAGGTGAGCATCATGGTTTTCAGAAGAAGGGTGGGGACGGTTATTGCCCTCAGGGAAGGACGTCACAGTTAATTTTTTAGGAAGCCCATCTTGCGACTGGTACTCAGCCTTGCCGCCACCGTCTTCTGCATCCTCCGGCCAATCGTCGCCGTCACGGATTCCCCAATCTCGCGGGGGGTCCTTGGGCCGGCCATCATGGTCACCATCGTCCGGGCTGGCAGGTTTGTCATCATGGGAGGCTTCTTCCCTAGGATGAAGCAGCGTCTGGATGGGGATGCCATTTCAGAATGCAGGAGCAGTCGGTGCAGGTGGCGTGGGAGGTGCAGGAGGGGCAGGAGGTGCGGGAGGAGCAGGCGGAGTAGGAGAAGCAGGAGGGCAGCACCAGGCAGAAGGAGGTGTTGCGGCTCTAAGTCGTCTGGGTTCGCCAGGACGACCGAAAAAAATGGAGAGGCCAGAGCCAGAGAAGCTAGCCATGGCTCTTGCTATGGGAGCTGGTGCGGGTTCTTCCTCATTCCATCCAGGAATAAAAAAATAAAGACAAGACAACGGTACCCCCTCTCAAGGCAGCGGCCCGTCTTCCCCGTCAATAATTTTTATCGATAAGAAAGATTCCATTTTTTTACAACCCATGGCAAGATTCCTTGCCATGTGTGCAAGTTCGAAGGTGTGCTGCCAATCGAGAACCTTCCACAGTGTCTAGATTCAGCCCTTCGCGTGTCACATTCCCCATCCAACACGGAATCAGCAGGGACATGGCCTATGACAGCCTGCGCTGGGTGTCTTGATCAACATTGCTTCGCTCAGGTGCCTCAATGGACCGCAAGGCATCTAACCTGCCTCGCATGGACTCGAGAGGCTTCTGCGTGAGATTTGTTTTTTGTCCTGTTCTCGTTGTCCACACTCACCTGCTCTTGCTGCAGCTACGGCGGCTGCTGCTGCGCAGTCCCCGACTCCGACTGACTAACCTCTCCATCTGCCTGTGCACCCCCTGTTCCCACCACTGCTGACGCCCCACGACCCTTGCCCCCCCTGCCCTTGCCCCTCTGTCCAGAGGAGCGACTGGGCGTGGTGACTGCTGCAGCGGTCTCGTTGACCTCTGCGACAGAGGTAGAGGCCCTAAAGACAGGAATCTAGGGGGCAGAGAAGCCCTGAAAGACAGGGAGCGCCATCGTGCAAGTGGTGTTAGCGATGGTACGGAGGCGGGACTCAATTGTCGTCTGGGCGGTGGAAAACTCAGCGACAGTGGGGGAGGTGGGAAGGTGTGCGAGGAGAGTGTCTCGTGCAGGGGCGAGACGGTCAGGGAGGCGGATGACAAGGAGGTACAGGGTGATGTATGTGGGCGGGAAGTGGGTGGGGCACTGCTCCTCAGGGCAGGCTGCACGCCAGCGAGCCTCAAGGGAGTGCAGGTGCGCAACTAGGTCCGCTACAGTGGAGAAGGAGGCTAGGTTAGAGAAAAGGAATGGCAGAAGGAGATGTTCTAGGGTAGCGGAGGACTACAGGTAGAATAGCGAGCGACAACAGCGCCCCGAATCCCCCGAGCCGTCTCTAGAGTCTCAAAGTGAGTCTGCTCTTCTAGGGAAAGGGCCCTAGTAACTACCAGCTGTGTAGCTGCGTCGCGAGACTGCCAAACAGAGAGGGTGGCTAGGGTCTGCGGTCCGGCCGCTGCTTCCGCCGCTTGGACGACCTCTACAGTCACAAGTTTGGCCTTCAGCACCAAAAACTAGCTGGCCCACTTTGCTTTGTTGTGGTGTTCAGATATTAGATCTTGATATGATTCAGATAGAGCACGCGATGTACGCTCTGTATGTTGATAACTCTAGTATTGCTGGTTCCTATTATCCTACTATTTGTAATCTAGGATCCAATAATGTATGTAGTCTAGGATCCCTTGCTACGTCAGGCATAGACTCCTCTAGCGACCCCTCTCTGGGCCCCACTATGTCGGCCCTCTCCTATACACTAGACTCTGGCACATCCCACAGCTTCTTTCAAGACAGTACTACTCTCACCCCACTTCCTGCACCCGTCCGTGTCGCACTAGCAGACTCCCCCGCCGCAGTTGTCGCACGCAGGACCACCGCTCTCCCTTGTACAACCGTCCCCTCTGGCTCCCTCACATGTTTGCATATCCATTCGTTTCCAGGAACTTAGTTGGTGTAGGTCACCTGTCCCCTCTGGCTCCCTCACTTGTTTGCACATCCATTCGTTTGCCAGGAACTTAGTTGGTGTAGGTCACATCCAGGACCTAGGAGTCACCACCACGTTTTTTTTCCACGAGAGGCACACAACCTGTACGGACACCGCCACATGTAGACGTCTAGTCACTTTTGATTGACTCATCATTCCGTCTCTTCACATTGCACACTGAGTCTCCGCCAATTGCTGCATCTGCTGAGGTAGCCGCATCGTGCTCTTGTCGCTCCCTCGCCAGCTCGACCCTCCTATAGCAACACCACTTAGGTCACCCTGCACTCCCGCGTCGTAGGCACATGCCCCAAAACGGTCTAGTTACTGGTCGTCCTACGTCACTCACGGCCCTGCCTGCATCCATAGCGCAACTCTGCACCTCCTGTATTGAAGGATGGCAGCGCGCCGCCCCTCACTCCTCCTCGATTCCTCCTACCACAACGTCGCTACAGACACTGCACATGGATGTCTAGGGTCCTGCCCCCATCCATGGTCTTAGTCGGGAGTGGTACCTCCTAGTCGTCGTTGACGACTTCTCGCGTTTCACCATGGTGTTCCCATTGGAGTGGAAGGCCGACGCGGCTGCTTACTATTCGCACCCAGCACAGCCTGCCTGTAGTTCGGTTGCACTCTGGTCGTAGTGGAGATTTTGCCTCGGGTACTCTAAGACAGTTCTATCGTGCGGCGGGCATCCGTCAGACGTACACACTGCCAGACTCCCTGCAACAAAATGGGGTTGCTGAGCAATGCATCGACTTGGTAATGGAGGTAGCTCGCACCTCCTTGGTCCACGCAGGTGCACCACATTTTCTTATGGACGTTCGTTGTGCGCTACGCAGCTCACCAGCTTAACATATGGTCACGTTCCATGTGCCCACAGTTTTTGCCGACTCTTCCCTTGACCCTGTCCCCTAGTAACGCATTTGCGTTCCACGTTTTGGGCAGCTGGCGCGGACAAGTTATCAGCCTGCACTCTCCCCTGTGTCTTCCTCTGGTTTCCTCTTGACGCCCCTAACTGGCTGTTTTACCATCCAGTACACCACCGCTTTTACCGCTCTCATGACGTCACCTTCGACGAGATGCTCCCATACTACCGGTGCTTCCCTCACCGTAGTTCTCCTTTCCCTCCTCCTCTTCTCTTCC